TTGAAGAGGTTTTTCACTACTGGGCGCGTGTGCTCGCCAGACAGACAGAGAGAGACATAGAGACAGAAAGCAAGACATCACCCTCCAGGGGGAATGGTCACACGGCAATCCCTTCTCCTCCATTCTCCTCTCGGGATCTTGGACACGCACGCACACGCGCCCAGTGTGAGTTTTAAGCCACCGGGTCCGGGACGCGAACCGCAGTCGACTACGTGGGAGTCCAGCGACATAGCCATTACGCTAACTGCTGGTTCCCAAGATGTAGTAATGATTCTACAAAATTCATACAATAAATCTTTGAACCACAATTTATTTCCCCCTGTATTAAGTCCATCACCCAAATCCAGAACTCATGACTCTTCTCAGCAACCTAGGAAACGGCCATTACAGTGACATCTCTAGAAGTTTATCTATTTAATCAAACATGTAAGTTCACAAAAGTCTGCCTTTGGGAAACTATCTCTTAAAGACAGAAATTCAATTTATAAAGTACAGGAAGCTTTTGGCATAAACTACTCAGAATCTTGCCCTTTTGAAGTTTCAGGTATGTTTCGGGGGGCATGGGGAGGGGAAAGCTTAACAGGCTGGCTTCTCAACCTAGACAGCATAAAATGAACTGTCACTCATCTTGTGGAGGACTTCAGGATGATATTCTTATCCTCTCAGAACCTTGCTTTCATCAGATAGGGAGATGCCAACTACTAACGGTTTAACACCTTATGACTTGACCAGACTTGCCCCATGTTTCCCTCAATTTCACTGAACAAGACCTGTGACAGTTTTTCAGAAGCATAAATGAAGAATGCGTAAGAATAAACAAGAAGGTCAGATGCTTTTGTACCATAGGTGTGTACACGTTTTTTCAAATGTCACTTTCTGACCCACCCCACAGGAAAAAGATCCTATCACACTTACCTCCGAGTCTTCTGCACTTTCATAATCCGAGAGAACAGCTGAAAGAAAAAAAGAAATATGTGGAAAAACGGCAACAAAAGGTATTACAGCTATCATATCTCCTGACTGCTTGTAGTAGGCCAGGTTAAAACTCATTCAATTCTGACTGCAACCTAGGAAGTAGATAAATTTACAGTCCGCATTTACAGAATGGAAAACAGACTCAAAATGACTTGCTCAAGACCATCCTGCTAAAACCTACTGTTCTTAACCGCTATACCACAAAAGCCACTTTTTAGCACCGTCCCTCAAATCTGTAAGAATCCCAGCGGATGTCAACCACTGCAAATAAGTATCCTGAGCTTACATGCAAAATACTCTTGTTACGATGGGAAAAAAGACGCTACTCACCATCACCCTCGATGCCATCTTCGCTCTCCTGAAGGAGAAAAGACATGTGTTAGTTCTATGGTTTCCAAAGGTGGGGAGTCCAGTAAAGAAAGGTGGGCAGAGAGCTGCAGACTCCACACAAAATGGTTGAATAATTAAGGATTTACGTAGGGGAAGGTAAATCTTTGACGAGTAGATTGCCAGAGAGGTCTGGTCTCTTCACCTCCAGCCCAGATTTCTGAATAAATCTCCGCTTTCCACCCGCAGCAGCACTGGCCTGGTCCCGGACACTACCAACCCCTCCTCTCCCCTGGCGGCTCCGGATGCAAACCCCACGGGGTAACTCTCCTCTCCAACAAAACGGGCCCCAGCATCCATCGTCGACTGGCTGG